TTGCCCGCGCCGCCTGGCCCGTGGCGGGGATGGTGCTGTGCAGCCTGGCCGCCTCCCTGGGTAAGCGGGGGGCGCACCCCGGCCTGCCCTGCCCTGCCCTGCCCTTCCCCGTGCAGCTGCCCGGCGCGAGCCCGCCGGCCTCCGTCCGGCACCTGAGGTGCGCGGCTGCGGCTGGGCCGGAGCCGGCGGCTCTGCTGGGGGCCCGGGAGAGCAGAGCCGGTCCCCGGGGTGGGAGGATGCAGGGACGCTTGTCCTGTCCCTTCCTCAGCGCTCGTGGGTTATAGGCGACCGCCCTGGCGCTTGCTCTCCCAGCTCTGTTTTCAGGGCCAATGTGGTGTATTACTGCTTTCCCTTCCTCTCGGGGGAGCAGGGAAGACGCAGCAGAAGGTGCTGTGGGTCGCGCCTGCTCTGGGGTGACCGGCGGGACTGCGTCTGAGCCAACCCCTCCGCTCCCTTGTGAAATTGGGCTGAACGGGCTTGTCGCTGTTCCCACCTTGCAATGACTAGACCCACCAGCACAAAACCCGCTCTGTGGCAGGGCTTGTCCTGCAGGTGGGCCACGATGCGTTCCAGTTTCAAATACATCTTCAGTTTAGCACTGGATTTTGCCACGGCTCTTCCATAAACAACCAGCCAGAGCCTTACAGTAGGAAAACGGGTGCCCAGTTGAGCCTAAGATGCTATTATAGTCTGTGTCTGGGACCTTCGGAGTGCTCTGGCTCTTGAAGTAGCTCGGTAGCTGTACCTTAGCAAGCCCTGCCGTTCCCTCCATCAGAGAGGATGACCAGGTTTGCCTCATCATGGTGCAAGCTTGGTTCCCTCCCGCAGTGATCTGTCTTCTGTGCTGATAAACATGGGCACGCTGCTTGTTCTGGCTATCTCTGCAGATCACTCAGCATTAAAAGGTATCTCTTGTTTGTTATCAGCTTTGCATTCTGTTTGAGAGCCTCTAGCTGAGGCTATATTTGGCTGCATGTTTCCTTTCTTCCCTCACTTCTCTAATTCAGCATCCTTCCCATCTCTAGCTTTCCTCAGTCTTATAATTTGAGTTGACACCAGGATTGAGGAGGAATTCGAGTTTGCCCTAAACGCCAGTAACAAACAAAAATATAGAAGTACCGCCTCTGGTTTCCCAGACCAGTTTTCTGAGGTATAAGTAGTAATCAGGCAGCTAAAATAGTTTTGAAAACACTATTCACTGCTATGTATCATTTGTTTATTTAAAGCTGCAAACTGGCTCTTTCTTTTCCTTTAGGGATGGTGTTTTCTGTACTAAATATGACTAATGTCGAGGACTTTCAACAAACTGAACTTGGCCATTTGGGGGGGGGAGCAGCTTTCTGTGCACCTAAAACTGGTTTGTGGTGTGAGAACTGTTGTTTTTTCCCCCACCCAGATAGCTAAAAATAGCTTTATTTCAAAACTTGCCAAATACAAAAGGGTAAGCCGGCACTTCCTAAGTGTGAGGATCTTTGCTTCTGAGAGGGCAAGAGTTCTGAATGTTTGCAAATTGTGGATGCAGCCCCTGTCCAGGCAGGCATTCAGATCTAGATCATTGTCCCTAGAGCAATGGTCCTCAACCTTTTTAGGCTCAAGGCACCCCTTGTTAGACTCAAGGCCCCCTCAGAAAATGTCAGCTCTTAGCTTTCACATGTTTTTTTGACTACAGAAAAATAATAGAGCAATTGTTCTGTTGCAAAGAACGCAGACCACAACAGGTCAGTATGTTTTTGACACAATGGATTCCTATTTGAAATCTCTAGGTCTGTCTGGTCAATCATGTTTGCACACCTACCAGTGCTAATGTTGTGTGGCATGAGAGGGGATCTCAAGGCATGCCAGGGTGCCACAGCATCTGGGTTGAGAATCACTGCTGTAGAGAGGCAGGTGTCAGTGCTTTAAAATCATACCCATCACTTCTCAAAATCAGGTGTGGCTATTCCCAGCTACACTACTAGATTTTCCTTAATATCTGGTGACTTCTAGCTGAACAGATCAGAACTTGTATGTATGAACTGAAACCCTTGTGAGATACTTGTGTCATTCCTCTTATTTTATGGATCAAGAAATGAGTGGAGAGGACAAGCAGCCTGCCTAAGTGAAGTGGCAGAGGTGAGAAGCTAGGTCTCCTGGCTCTTACAGCTCTCCTCTGGCTATGAAAGCAAGCTGCCTTGACTCGGGTTCCAGAGGTGATGGAGGTTCCAGGAACTTCACAATCTGAATTTTGGAAGGGGGGGGGGGCAGGGAGTTTTATTTTGGAGGGGAAGATTTTTCTCTAGGGTAGCAGTGCCATCAGTATTAACAGGAGGATATATTTAGTTTTCTCCTTTCACCCCTTTGAGAGGGAGTTTAGAGAGTTTGTGGTCATAGACTCTGCCACCTCCTCGGTGTGGAAGACCAAGCCTCAAGTATGTGCTGTATCTTGTCTGGAGGCAACTTGTAGGGGTGGGGCTCATAGGTGTTGTTGAATCTAAACCTGAGATTCTTGTGGTCAGTGGTTTTAAACATTTTTTCATTTGCGGATCCCTAAAAAATGTCTAATGGAGGTGCAGATCCCTTTGGAAATTTTGACTTGTAAGTGTAAGTATTCACATACTTTTGACTGATCATCTTTTGCAGACCCCAGGGGTCTGCAGACCACAGGTTGAAAACCACTGCATTGGGACACAGGGACTACAAATATATTACATTTGTAGCAGCCTACAGAGGATTGCCAGTGAGGAAAAATAACCTGGATACAAACTTTTATTAGAAACCCAAAGATATGTGATTACAGCAAATTGAAAAGCAAAAGAAAAATAAGAAGCTTTGAAGTAAGGCTTGTTCCATGGTCTGCTCTATAGAAAGCTCTGAAGCAGGTGACAGTTAGATAATGAGCAGTTGTTATTTAGTCCTTTTCCCAGCTCTGGGTTTTCCTGGGTACCCCTACATATCCTTCATACCACAAAGCAGCTTATGCATAAGTTGCGCCTGTTTTCATTACTTCCTTTTGCTACAAATTGTAGTATTCGTTCATGTGATTGGAAATAGTTAGAAGAAAGAACTTAAGAACTTACTAAGTAGCAGTAATGTCATATTAGCATCTCAAGACATTTTTAAGAACAAGTTGGGCAGACATTTGGCTGGTATGGTATAGTTGGGAATGATCCAGCCTTGATCAGGGGCCTGGATTATATGACCGTGTGAGGTGCCTTCCAGCTCCACTTTCCTATGACCCTATAATCTCATTGTTATGGGAAAATGCAGGTACGATGTGGTAGGAACTGTGCATTTCCAAGAATTCCCTCTCAAGCAATTCATCAGTTCTGCATGTGTGTGCATTTGACTGTCGCTTGTTTACTGTTCTGTAACTTGTTTTATGACTATGAGTTCAATGCAGAGCATCTATTTTGCTTACTAGGCTTTAAGGAAGGCCTACTAAGTCCAGCTCTTCATTGACATTTGGCACCTGTTCTCTGTTTGTGTTATAGCGGGGATGTCAAACATATAGCCTGTGGGTCATTGGCAGTTGGGGGCATGTGGCCTGCTGCATAATCTGGGGCTCTCTGGCCCCTCTGAGCATGGCCATTGATGGTGAGTTTGGATTGCTGCTGCCATCCCTAGACTTGCTTCCCTGGACTCACTGCCCCCTTGTCATGGTTGCTGCTGCTGTGGTAGCCACAGTGGCAGCCCTCATGCCCTGAGCTGGATCCAGACTACAGGGAGCCCTGTGGTCTGGATGCAGCCCAGGGCCCTGGGTGGCTTTGACACCCCTGGGTTATAGCAGTGCTGTTTCATACAGTGACAGTCTGGCTTTTGGGTCTCTGTGCCTGTGCTGAGAATGGTGTGCTGGAGGATACACCCTGCAAATTGCACCTATGTGAGAGCTCTGATCAGTCCAGGGAATGGGAGAGCTGTTCCTAATGTGGAGGCCAGTGGGTGGCTAATTGAAAGGGAGGCAGAGTCCTGTGGTAGACCGGGAGAGAACACCCCAGGAAATGGTTGAGAAGGGCTGAGGTAGGGTTGAGTCTGGTCCTGATTCTTATCTTTGGCAGAAAAGATTGAAGGACAGGGACCCAAAGCAAAGTAACCATTGTGGAATAGTTGCTTTATTCTGGAACAGTGTGTAGACCTGGAATTACACTGGTAGGGCTGTAGTGGTGCAGTCATTCTGCTATAGCTATGTTGCTCGCTTTCTCCAAGTAGACAAGATCTTAGAGAGATGCTTCTCTTCTTGCAGTCTACCAGCAAAAGTGCCAGGCAGAAGGCCCTTCACTGCAGAAGAGGAGGGGTTGCTGACGGGGACTCTCTGGCCAGGTCTTTGTGATTCCCTCAGGTCCCAAGTTAATCGCCCTTTAGGTCATGCTACAAAAGTAATTTTTCTCTTGTGCTTTGTGAGGCTGCAGAGACTGGGATTCTGCAGACTGGCAATTGAGGTTGATTTGTTGCAGTACACTGATGTTGTTGCTGTGTTTGAGCTGATCTGGAAGGAAGTATAATCAGAGAGAAATAGGCCTGTAGGCTGGAAGAGACCCCAAGAGGTCACCCCATCCATTAGCAGTAATTAGCAGTCCATTTAGTAAACTGGACAAGCACTTTCTTATTAGACCATATAATTGTCATTAAGCACAGAAGGCCGTACCAGCTGGCTTTAGCCCAGTCTGAGAGAGCTTTCCCTGGAGGGGCAGGGGTACTTCAGTCTCCATGAACCAGGCAGCTTCTGGCTTTCCATGAGTCTTCCTAGACTAGAGCAAAACCCTTTTTTAGAAGAGGGAATGGCTAACATGTTTTAAAATTGAAGCATAGACACAGCAAGCTGTAGCTTTCAGACAAATGACATTTGTCTGATACCAGGATTTTAAACATTAGTTACTGGTATCAAATCTTAAAAAACAAACAAACACTTTCCTGTAGTGAGGAAAAGCCCTTGTCAGCGTGTGTTGGTGCACAAGTGGACTCAACACCAGCTCCAATATCACTTGTGCACCAACACACACTGACAAGGGCTTTTCCCCACTATAGGAAAGTGTGCTGGTTTTTTGGTGTTTTTTTTTTTTTTAAGATTTGATAAACTAATGCCA